TGGGACCCCGCCCCACCCAAGACATACATGGAGGCTTTTGCATATGAAAGGCCTGGCCCTTTGCAATCTGAAAATTACGTAACAAACTGGCACAAGGCCCCAGGCAACTCACATTGCTTCACAGCTGGCTCCTGCTAGGTAGCCTCCTGCAGAGGCTAGATTAGCACCTCCTTAGAGATCCAGGAGCCAGTGTGCCTGGTGGTCAGAGTGGGACCATCCAGATTGCAGCTCCTTGGATCCACAAAAGACACACTCAGGGGGCAGACTCAGTGAGCACCAAAGCCCCACTGAAGCAAGTCTTGCCCCGGAGGGGTGTCTCCAGCACAGAAGTTCTCCCATTGCAGACACAGCTGATTCTCACAGCCAATTGGCCTAGAGGTCAATCCCTCCCAGTATTATCTACAACAATCAAGGTTTAACTACAACAAGACTGTGCACAAAGCCCACAAAGGGGTACACCAAGTGTCCGCCTCAGGTAATTGGGGAGGCTGAGCCACTGGGCCCTATAGAACACCTAGCACAGAAAGCCACTCTATCAACACAGGGAAGCAGCCAAGATGCAGAGACAAAGAAACAGGTCACAAATGACAGAAATGGAGGAAAGCAAACTACTAGATACAGAGTTCAAAACCACGCTCTTAAAGTTTTTCAAGAACTTTCTAGAAACTGCCGATAAATTTAGTAAGACCCTCAAAAAGTCTGGTGAGACCGCCGATAAATGTAGTGAGACCCTCCAGGTTATGAAAAAGGACCAACTAGAAATTAAGCATAAACTGACTGAAATAAAGGATATTATGCAGAGTTCCAACAGCAGACCAGAGGCTCGCAAGAATCAAGTCAAAGATTTGAAATACGAAGAAGCAAAAAACACCAAACCGGAGAAGCAAAATGAAAAAAGAATCCAAAAATACGAAGATAGTGTAAGGAGCCTCTGGGACAGCTTCAAGCATCCCAACATCCGAATTATAGGGGTGCCAGAACAAGAGAGAGAGCAAGATATTGCAAACCTATTTGAAGAAAGAATGACAGAAAACTTCCCCTACCTGGTGAAAGAAATAGACTTACAAGTCCAGGAAGCGCAGAGAACCCCAAACAAAAGGAATCCAAAGAGGACCACACCAAGGCACATCATAATTAAAATGCCAAGAGCAAAAGACAAAGAGAGAATCTTAAAAGCTGCAAGAGAAAGACAGTCAGTTACCTACAAGGGAGTACCCATACGACTGTCAGCTGATTTCTCAACAGAAACTTTGCAGGCCAGAAGGGAGTGGCAAGAAATATTCAAAGTGATGAATGCCAAGAACCTACCACCAAGATTACTTTATCCAGCAAAGCTATCATTCAGAATTGAAGGTCAGATAAAGAGCTTCACAGATAAGGAAAAGCTAAAGGAGTTCATCACCACCAAACCAGTATTATATGAAATGCTAGAAGGTATCCTTTAAGAAGAGGAAGAAGAAGAAGAAAAAGTAAAGATACAAATTATGAACAACAAATACACATCTATCAACAAGTGAATCTAAAAATCAAGTGAATAAATAATCTGATGGACAGAATAAACTGGTGATTATAATAGAATCAGGGGCATAGAAAGGGAGTGGACTGACAATTTTTTTGGGGGGCGGGACGGGTGGGGGGATGCGGGAAGAGACTGGACAAAAATTGTTCACCTATGAATGAGGACAGTGGTTGGGGGGGAGGGCGGAGGGCGGGAGGGGAACTGAGTGGAGAGGAGCTATGAGGGGGAAAAAAGAGGAACAACTGTAATCTGAACAATAAAGATTTAATTATTATTTTTTTTTTAAAAAAAGGAAGCGAGGGCAAAGAGTATGACAACCTTGTTCACCGTCATTGTCCATTTGTATAACTTTCATGTGGCTCAGTCTCTCCTCGTATTCAACATTTTGGAAAAACTTACTGGGAATTTCACTGAGAAAGATATGGAACTGATCCTATTAATGCTGAGAAATGTGGGCTTTTCATTGAGAAAAGATGATGTTTTGTCCCTAGAAATGATCAAACAGACCCAGGGCAAAGCCATCGGCGCAGGCGGCAAGTTCCAGGGCAAGACCAGGTACGATTGGTCACTCAGTCTGCCTCCTAAGTGCCTATATCCGCAGAAGCTGACCAGCACAGAGAAATAAGTGATGTAAATGCTATGTTTCATTTGCTAGTAATCTGTTATCTTCTGCTTCTGTGATTTGATTTTTTAATCTTTAAAACTAGAAGCCAGGTGCACAGATTCGGCTCTCCGACATCCCCCGAGGAGTCCCAGATTGTGAGAGGGACCCCACTGGTGCACGATCAGGGCCATGGAGCCTCCGTGGGAGGGCTCCAGGGCATGTCAGGCCTGTCTGGCCCAGTCGGGATCATCTGGACCCCAGAAGCAAGCTAACCTACCAGTCAGAGCTTCTGCCCTCTGGTGGTCAGTGCGCGTCATAGTGACTGGTCGAACAGTTAGGGACAATTAGCATGTTAGGCTTTTATATGTATTGACTAGAGGCCTGATACATGGGATTCGTGTATTGGTGGGGTGGCATGGCCTGCAGGGACCTGCCCAGTGTGGAAGTGTCACTCATCTTGGTCAGCCTAGCGGCACTCCCACTGTGGTAGCACACTGACCACCAGGCAGCAGCTCCTACGTTGAGCGTCTGCCCCCTGGTGGTCAGTGAGCATCATAGCAACTGGTCCACTGGTCATCGTTCTGGTCATTCTGCCATTCGGTCGCTGGGCTTTTATTATATAGGATGTGAACAAGCCTTGTTTCATTACTAAGAATTAGGATATTTTGTGAGTTCAAGAACTGATTTATTTAACACTCATCTATTCAAAACATGTTCACTGAGGAAGGCCATGTGGTTCGGGGCTCAGGTGTCAGCGTACCTGGACTTCTGCTCAGCCCCTGGACAGCAATGTGACCTGAGTCTTCCAAGCCTCAGTTTCCCCTTCTGGAAAGCAGGGCTTGGCATTGCTCTGACCTCATTTCCTTTTTTGCAGATCAGACATAGTGGGAGGGTGGGGAAGCAACCTAGGGATGTGTGAGAAACAGGAAAAGGGTTCGTGTGGGGCCCATAAAGGGAGCAGGGCAGGGGCCGTTGCAAGGACTTGGGGTTTTATCCTGGAGACACCTGAAGGGTTCTGAGTGGGAAAATGGTGCGGGAAGTCTCCTTGCTAATGGTCCCTTTGCCTACAACGTAGAAGATGGAGGTGGTCAGGCAGGTATACCCCGTTCAGGGGTCGGAGATGGTGGTGGGAGGATTAGCTCAGGTGCAGTGGATGTGGTGTGGGAGTGAGGACTGACCAGGTGGGGTATGGGTGAGAGGGAAGACCAGAGTCAGCGCAAGTTCTCAGCTGGGGCCTTCAGTGGACAGGAGTACATGCAGGAGACCCAGGCTCAAAGGGAAGCTGGGCTCTTTTCTGAAATCCCATGATATTCACTGGGAGGAGTAATGATCTGAGCCCCTGAGGAGGTCCTGAGGCCCTGAGGTGGGAAGCCTCAGGGTTAGAAACACGGACATTCAGACATTTGAGAGGAAGAGCGGGAGGAAGGTCACTGGAGACAGGCCGCAGTGGTCCAGAGAAGCTTCCCTGTATTGAATGCCCAGAGGTCCGATTTAAAACACAGAAGTCGGCCTGGCCAACATGGCTCAGTGGTTGAGCCTGGATCTATGAACCAGGAGGTCGTGGTTTGATTCCCAGTCAGGGTACATGCCCGGTTGCAGGCTCCATCCCCAGTGTGGGGTGTGCAGGAGGCAGCTGATCAATTATTCTCTCCCATCATTGATGTTTCTCCCCTTCCTCTTTCCTCTTTGAAATCAATAATGTGTGTGTGTGTGTGTGTGTGTATGTAGTTTGTTTTGTTTTAATCCTCACCCAAGTATATTTTTCTATTGACTTTTTAGAGAGAGTGGAAGAGAAAGGGAAAGACAGAGAGAAACATCAGTGTGAGAGGCACACATCGATTGCTTGCCTCTTGCACATGCCCCGACCTGGGCCTGGGCCAGGGAGGAGTTGCAACCTAGGTACCCCCTTGACTGGAATTGGACCCAGGACCTTTCAGTCCACAGGCTGACACTCTGTCCACCGAGCCAAACTGACTAGGGCAATAAAAATATGTTTTTTAAAATAAATAAATTACCGGCCCGGACACGGACAGGATTGACAGATTGATAGCTCTTTCTCGATTCCGTGGGTGGTGGTGCATGGCCGTTCTTACTTGGTGGAGCGATTTGTCTGGCTGATTCCAATAACGAACAAGACTCTGGCATGCTAAAGTATTTTAAAATTAATAAAGAAAAATAAAATAAAATAAATTAGTTAAAAAACCAGAAGTCAGCAGAGACTGGAAGTACTCCCCTGGTTGCCTAGGGCTGGCGCGTTGTGGGAATCAGGGCATGGCTTTTAATATGTGTTTGGAGCTTCTTTTTGGTGAGCTATGAAAACGTTCTAAAATTGTCTAGATGGATGCACAACCTTAAATATACTCGGTGTACATTTTGAATGGGTGTTTGGTGGTTCATGAATTATATCAATTAAAAAATGTGGGAAAATCTCAGAAAGGGGTATGTGGGAAGTCTCTGTACTATTCTTGCAACTTTTCTCTCAGTATGACATTATTTTAGATTAAAAGTTAAAGAAATGAAAAGGCCAGGAGTGGGGGAAGGAATGGCAACTCTTGTGGGAGGAGGGGTGATCCAGAGCACAGGGTCAGGAGGGAGGAGCGCAGGTGGGGGATCAGTGGAAACAGTTGGGGGTGGGAGAACAGGAGAGGAACAACCAGAGATTTGTGGGTAGTGGTCAAGTCCCCGGTGGAGGTCTGATGCCAGATTTATGTTAAATTACTGCCGAGGCTGGAGTGGGATGGTCTGCCTGAGACCATCAGGTTTACCAGCAGTGATGGCCACGGGCAGAGTTGGTTTATGTCTTCCAAAGTTGAAGGTCAGTTGTATATACAATTTGAAATGATGGCTTTCTCTTTCGTGTGTTGCTATTTTTAGGATTCGCTTTATGCTGGAAAAGATGTTGGTACTGAAGGACAATGACATGCAGAGGACTCTGGGCTTTGACCCTGAGCCTGTAGAGAAACTGAGGAAATTGCAAAGAGCTTTGGTGAGTCACTTTTACTCCTAGTGCTTTGAGTTTCCTGTGGACGTGAACCCACCGTGGAAGTCTGGGAGGTAGTTGGAGCTGTGAGTCAGGTGACCGGCCTGGTCAGCAAGAGTTCCAAGGGATCGAATGGCAATCAATCAGGTTTCTGTGTTTCTGTGGTGAGACCCTGTGATTGGCCTGTGTGCAGTGAGTCCCTGTTAGTTAAGCATCCCCCACCCTTACCTTGTGTGGCTGGACTCGGCTGTGCAGCAGAATCAATCTGGAACCTTCTGATCACTTTGGAAGAGGCCCCACCAGAGGTGTTAGGACCAGAGGTGTTAGCCTAGGAGGAGAGGGGGCTTGTCTGTTCATCCTTCCCAGGTTTTTTTTACATGGGGCCACAGCTGAGACCCACTGCCTCTCCAGTCAGGGCGAGGACTCTGGAACTTCCTTTTTATTTTTTAAGAGAATCATTTCATATATATATAAATTTAATTATTTATCTGTTTGTTTTTCAACATCATTTTTTTAAAATCCTCATTTGAAGGTACTTTCCATTGAATTTTAGAGAGAGTGGAAGAGAGAGGGAAAGATAGAGAGAAATATCGATGTGAGAGAAACACACTGCACTCGCCCTGGAGCCTGCCGCCGAGGTATGTGCCCTTGACCGGAATCGAACACAGAACCCTTCAGTCTACAGCAGCGGTTCTCAACCTGTGGGTCTCGACCCCTTGGGGGTCAAAAGACCTTTTTACAGGGGTCGCCTAAGACCATCCTGCATATCAGATATTTACATTACGATTCATAACAGTAGCAACATTACAGTTGTGAAAATAATTTTATGGTTGGGTCACAGCATGAGGAACTGTATTTCAAGGGCCAGAAGGTTGAGAACCACTGGTCTACAGGATGACGCTCTATCCACTGAGCCAAACCGGGTAGGGCTTTAATATATATTTTTATTGGTTTCAGAGAGGAAGGGAGAGGAGGGAGAGAGAGAATCATCAGTAAGAGAATCATTGATTGGCTGCCTCCTGCATATACGGCGGAGGAAACCCACAACTGGGACATGTGTCCTACCTGGAATCAAACCATGACCACCTGGCTCATAGGTTGGCACTCAAACACTGAGCCAGACCAACTAGGTTCATGTGCCAGTAAAAATGCTTGTATAAATAAAAAAAATTGTATTGCTGGTTTAGTTCTCTTCAAGGTATTCTTTGAATCTATTGGGAAATTTGGTAAGAATTTAGAAGTTAAAATTTGAAAATTACCTTCTAATATCTAATGGAACCCATTATTTCTTTAAATCCTATCCCAGGGATATGCTTACTGATTTGAGAGAGAGAGAGGATCATTGATGTTAGAGAAAAGCATCAGTTGGTTGCCTCTCATATGCACCTCCACTGGGGGCTGAACGCCCAACCCAGGTATGTGCCCTGACTGGGAATTGAACCCACAGCCTTTCCATGTACACAATGATGACCAAACCAACTGAGCCACCCCAGCCTGGTCATGGAACCAAGTTCTAGGAAAGAAAACCTTGTATTACTCCTAGATTTCTGCATATCTGAGGTCCAAAATACAGCTAACTCTATGGGAGTTCATGGAGGACCTTGATGACTTTGAGCAGATTAAATGAGATAGAATGTATGCAACATGCTCATCACTGTGCTAAGCTGGCACTCACTCTTTTGTAGTTTCAGTCGGCCTCATCCTGTTTTCTGTGTCATTGTTATGTATTTTCCTTAAAAGAGCTCTGGGTTCATAAATTTTGCATCATTTCTCTGAAATGTTGGCCCTAAAAATTGGGAGCAGAGAGTTTAAAACTTTAGCATACAGTTACTATCTCATCAGCATAAGCTCATAAATTCAACCATTATTGGAATCTTGATTTGCATAATGATGATAAGAGAAGTAATTTTCAATATATCAAGATTCTTTTTAAAAAAAATCCTATTGGAGGATATTTTTCCATTGATTTTTAGAGAGAGTGGAAGAGAGACGGAAAGACAGAGAGAAACATTGATGTCAGAGAAACACATCGATTGGTTGCCTCCAGCAGGTCCAGGGCCAGGGAGGAGTCTGCAACCAAAGTACATGCCCTTGACTGGAACTGAGTCTGCTGGTCAACACTCTATCAACTGCACCAAACCTGCCAGGAGAAGATTCTTTAAATTTATATGTTATGTGCTGTGTTCTCCGTTCCGGTAACTACATCTACAAATTTGTTTCCAGTTTAGATTACATTTTGTTTGACATCATTTTAAATCTCATTATGCTTCCCACAAATGAAGACTATTTTATGAGATAGGTTCTAAAAGAGAAATTGATTGAGGTAGTTATGAAATAATAACACCTTTAGGTGGGATTTTTCCCCCCCATTTTCTTTTGTTAGGGGCAGGAATAGAATATTAGGGACTAGCTATAATTATAAGAAATATTACTAGTAATGGTGCTCTATTAACCATGATTGCTCTGTTTTGATTAGAGAAAGCACGTTCTAATCTGAGAGTTGTACACCCTGAGGCATGGGAGCTAACATGGGAATGCAGCTCCCAACGGTGTAGATTAACATCCTTGTTGCCTGTAAGCTGGTCCCTGAGTCATGCAACCCCCAGGCCGAATTGCATGTGACCTGTAAGCACTGTGCCTTGCCTACTTTCCATGCGTGGGATTTCTACTTTCCCATGGAATCTGTGTCTTTCTCCCCAAGAGAAGCAGCTGGCTTATGGGGAGAGTAGAGCAGATGTTCGTGGATGACCTGCTGCTCTCCCATTCTGCCCACATTAATGGAATAAACGCCATATATGAGTCAACCCATGTTTCTGCTACATTGGTTCAAGTAGTAACCAGCAGCCTGGACCCATTGGTTGTCTGGTTTCACTTTAAGTAATTTTATAACAGTTATTGGAACTGGATAATTAATAAAAATGCCAATCAGTACTTTTTTCTTCAAACCTAAGTCCACATATTGCATTTACTTAAAATTTTTAAAATTTCCTTTAAATTAAGAATGAGTTTTTTATTTAACCCAAGTAAAACCATTACCAGTTTAGAAAATAATTAAAACACTCTTAGTGCATTGATTGACAGCCTAAAGGTTTAAATTCTGTTTTGAGGACACCTGCATATTTGTTCTCTAAATGTCTTTCTTGATTGTGCTAATTTAATACTCCTTGCACAGAAAGTTATGTACAATATCTTTTTGATAAAAACTTTTCCAGTCCGGCCGGCGTAGCTCAATGATTGAGCGTCAAACTATGAAGTAGGAGGTCATGGTTCCATACCCTGTCAGGGCACATGTGTGGGTTGGGGGCTCGATTCCCATTATGGGGCATGCAGGAGGCAGCTGATTGATGATTCTCTCATCATTGGTGCTTCTATCTCTCCCTCCATCTCCTTTCCCCTCTGAACTCAATAAAGATATATTTTTAAAAGTAAGTAAATAAAGTATTTTCCAAATATACAACTTTACTTTCTTCATTTTTCTTATAAACTACACATTAGTGAATGGTCTGTCAAATTGTTTTTTAGGCAGTTGACTGGTGGAGTTCAGGTGTTCTAATGTATGAACTGTTCACAATCGATGATGAGAAGAATTTCAGAAATGAGCTCTCTAGATAATACTCCACAAAATAAAATAAATGTGTTGTTACCTAAATGATACGGATTGATTTCTGTAATTCAGCTGATGGGAAAACAATAATTTTTAGAAATGCGGTAGACAAAATTAGAATTAAGCGGTTAATTTTCATTGATATAGGATCTATATAGTTATCCTTTTTGTTTCTTTATATTTTATATGCCCAGATAGGTCTTAAGTTTCATAGGGAGAGTGCCCTAATATTTGTGTATTCCAAAGCAGTTAACATGGGGCATGGCTGCTGGCAGAGCAGTTTAGAATGCGGCCCATAGGGCAGTTTGAAATGGGCGGCATGGAAACTGTGGAATGTGTGGTGCAGAGTCGGTGGACGTGGAGTTGGTGGTGTGGAGTCGGTTGAGTACAGAGTCGGTGTGTGAAGAGTCGGTGTGTGAAGAGTCGGTGGACGTAGAGTCGGTGAACTTAGAGTCGGTGAACTTCGAGTCGGTGGACGTAGAGTCAGTGAGCGCGGAGTCGGTGAGTGCAGAGCCTTTTCATGTATAGGAAGGGACTGTGCCTGCCTCCCCCTCGGGGCTGTTGTGAAGAGTGAATGTGCAAGGACAGAGGGCACCTAGTACAGGGCTGGGGATGGGCAGATAGACGGTGCCCAGGTGACTCCAGAGTCTGAGCGAACCCTTCCCGCTGCCAGGCCTTGATCAGAACTGTGTCCACTGATGGGAGGTCCATGGCTTCCCTCCTACCAAGAATCTTGGGTTCTGGGCCCTGTGGGGAAAATGAACACGAGATGGAAAAGCAGCAGCTACCGCCCACTCCCAGTCATTAGAAACCCTGAGTGGGGTCAACCTTGGGAAACTGCCACTGAGAGAAACGGTCACATCCCGTTATGTGTGTTCCCAGACTGAAGGCACTTGGGGAGACTCAGCCCCCTCAGACACCGAGTGGTTCTGGGAGGCTTCCTGGGGCAGGAGCAGAGATGAGGGGAAAGAGCTGAACGGCTCCCCCGTGTGTGCTGGGCCCTGGGACAGGAGTAAGTCCAGAGACTCCTTCCATAACGGGGCATGCGAGGGCCCAGCCATGGCGTCCCACACCCAGCATGTGCCTGACCCCCAGAGGCCCATAGTATTGTTTGTTGTGCCTTAGCCCTCATTTCCAGGAAACTGGCAAGAGCTGCCGAGAGCTGTTGGTTTTCCAAGAGGATATGTGTAAACTGTTCAGATAGGAACTGTGTGTTGAACAAAAGCTCACCCATAGCCATTTATTTCCAGGACCCAGATCAGTGAAGTGACTGTGGAATTGAGAGGCCTGGACTTAGCCCTCTAACCCGGAATAGACTCTTAGCCCCACCCCTTCCTTGTTAAGAAAACAGCTCAGCGAAGTCCATACCTGTCAGCAGGTGCACTCATCCTATAGACAAGGCTATACATGTCAGATCCTCTCGCACCACGTGTACAACGGATTGGGGCACTTTTTGGTTTATGTTGTGCCCTTCTCTGACTTTCTGCTACTGGGTTGGGGCTGCTGCCCACGCAGTGACCTGCTGTTGGTGAAGAGTTGCTTGCTAAGCTCAGCGGCTTGAGTTGGCAACACTTAAGGTCCTCAAAACAGACAGGGCCTTCCCGGCCGGGGCCAATGCTCCGGTTGTGGGCTCCACGCCCAGGGGTGGCCTGTGGGAGGCAGCTGATCAGTGATTCTCTCTCATCATTGTTGTTTCTATCTTTCCCTCTTCCTTCCTCTCTGAGATCAGTCTATATATATATAAAAGCCAAACGACCAGCTGACTGGCCAGTAGCTATGACACGCACTGACCCCCAGAGGGCAGATGCTCAACACAGGAGCTGCTGAGCTGCTGTCACTTGGCAGTTGCAGTTCTCAGGTGATGCACCCAAAACCCGAGAGGAGGAAGCCCAATTCTGGGGTGTGTCACATGAGAACCACCCTCTCGCAATCTGGGACCCCTCAGGGGATGTCGGAGAGCCGGTTTCAACACGATCCCCACAGACCAGGCCTAGGGACCCCACCGGTGCATGAATCCATGCACTGGGCCTCTAGTAAAAATATATTTATATCCTATATAATAAAAACCTAATATGCTAAGTGTCCAGTCATCCATTCAACCAGTCAAAGCAATATGCTAATAATATGCTAAAGCCGCTCAACTGCTCACAATGACGTGCACTGACCACCAGCGGGAAGACGCTCCAATTGGTAGGTGAGCTTGCTGCTGGCGTCTGGCCGATAGGGACTGTGCAAGATGGGCGGGTCACATCCTGGAGCCCTCCCGCTGTCCGTCCCCGGTTGGCCAACCTCACACATCTCTCAACTGCCCTGATCCTGCACCAGTGGGGTTCCTCAGTCTGGCCTATGCCCTCTCGAAATGCAGGACCCCTCAGGGGATATCGGAGAGCCGGTTTCGACCCAATCCCACAGGCCAGGTCGAGGGACCCCACTGGTGCACAAATTCGGACCCCAGGCCTCTAATATATCTACACTAATAAAAGACAAACATGCAATTGACCATACCTTCACTATGGCTTAAGCCATGCCCACCAGCCAATCAGACCGACTATATGCAAATTAACCCAACCAAGATGGCAGCCGGCAGCCACGGAGCTGGTGCAAGCAGGAGGCTTGGTTACCCCAGTGATAGAGGAAGCCAAGCTTCCCGCCCTCCCTGGCCAGCTTGAGCTCCACTCAAGGCAACACAGTTTCAATTATAGAAGATAAATAATCCCCAGATACCTGCTTTCAGCCGGCCATGGCCAAGGAGCTGGAGCGAGCAGGAGGCTTGAGTTGCCCCTGGCGATGGAGGAAGTCAAGCTTCCTGCCCTCCCTGGCTGGCTCTGAGCTCCACTCAAGGTTACAAAGTTTCAATTATAGAAGGTAAATAAATCCCAGGGGAAAAAAAGAAAAAAAGGAGAGGCTGGGAGCTTCCATCACCGGCGGCTTGGCCAGCCTGAAAACGGCCCTCAGCCCCTCACCCAGACTGGCCAGGCACCCCAGCAGGACCCCCACCCTGATCCAGGACACCCTTCATGGCAAACCAGCCGGCCTCCACCCGTGCACCAAGCCTCTATCCTATATAATAAAAGGGTAATATGCAAATTGACGCTAACAGCAGAATGACAGTGAATGACTGGTCACTATGACACACACTGACCACCAGGGGGCAGATGCTCAATGCAAGAGCTGTCCCCTGGTGGTCAGTGCGCTCCCACAGGGGAAGCTCTGCTCAGCCACAAGCCAGGCTGATGGCTGCCAGGATAGCGGTGGTGGCGGGAGCCTCTCCCGCCTCCTCAGCAGCACTAAGGATGTCCGACTGCAGCTTAGGTCTGCTCCCTGCTGGTAAGTGGACATCCCCTGAGGGCTGCCGGGCTGCCAGAGGGATGTCTGACTGCCAGCTTGGGCCCGATCCCCCAGGGAGCGTGCCTAAGCCAGCAGGTCGTTATCTCCTGAGGGGTCCCAGACTGCGAGAGGGCACAGGCCGGCCTGAGGGACTTCCCCCCACTCCCCCCCCTCCCCCCACCGAGTGCACAAATTTTTGTGCACCGGGCCTCTAGTGTGTGTGTGTGTGTGTGTGTGTGTGTGTGTGTGTGTATGTTTAAAAAGAAAAACCTCAAAACCAGATAGGACCTGACTGCTGTGTTGCTTTTCTGAAAGAATGGATGTAGGTGGGTGACTGTTGCAAAAAGGATCTCTAGTAGTGTTTAGCATTTGGGTTGAGCTGTGATTTGGGAGTCCCTACGACCTTTCCAAGACATGTTAAATCTGCTGAGGAGCCACAGAGCTGCCCACCATCATATTCCTTGCTTTAAAGCCCAGTGCTGTATGCCCCTTTGTTCAGACACCACTGAGAGACATTGGGTGTCTTCATCACCTAAGGCCACTGGGTCAGCATATCTGTTAGTGGCTGTAGGCCTCCCAGCTGGGCCCTGTGTTGGAGTCACTTCTGTGCAGCTGTGTTTTTGGAAGTGAGAAGGTGCATGGAGGCCCTTCATTCTGGGGGAATGAGGATAGATGCATGCAGGTGGGGCCTGTCCAGAGGGTACCCTGGGGTACATCCTCACCACACCCCTCTTCCTGCACTAGGATCGTGGACATATCCCCCAGTGGTTCCTTGAGGAGCTGTTGGGGGACAGCATGGCCCTCGAGGCTGAACAGGTCCAGAGGATGAACCAGCACACCCACCTGAGCTGGGAGATGGAGCAGCTTTCAGAAGGTAGGTAGCAGCCCCTGGTGCCTGGGAGCCAGCCTGGCTGTGGCTTCCTCATCCAGGGAGCTGAGCCCTTGGATCTGAATCTCATGTGTCAGCTCATCCTCACCCCAAGGGAATAACATTTTATTTAAAAGCCATTTGGAACTGTTTCATTGCAATTCTCCCCAAGGAGAACATGAAAGGTCTGGCAGCCTTGACGTCAGGACGTGAACTACAAAGTAACAGATTTCTCAGCTCCCATGTGGACAGTCCCAGGAGCTTCCAGATGACAGCACGCTGGCACCCTTAGGATATCTTAGATCTGTCCATGGGGGATTGAAAGCTCTGGATGGCAGGAGCCTTCCCCAGTGGTTACTAACCTCCAGTATAACTGACCCTGGGCATGATTTCCTCCATTCATTTCCTAATTGGACAGATGGGTGTAGTCTGTACTCTGCCCCTCTGGGCAGGGGCTGCTACGTGTTGGCTTCTCAGGGGAGCCAGGCCTCTTCCCCTCCCTCTTGTGTTTGCCCCCTCACAGCCCCAAGGAGGTGTGGGGTTGGCCAGGGGAAGGTGGGGAGGGGGGCAGGCAGTGCACCCAGCAAACAAGTAGCCAGTTCCTGTGCTCAACAACATCACATGTGCACCTGAGGGTGCAGGTGAAGGTGTGCTTAGATCTCTGCAGAGCTGAGGAGGGCCTTGGGCTAGTTGGGGGTGGGAGAGGTGCTGCTTTTCCAATATTGATCAACATTCCTAAGCATCATGGAGAGGCTGTTGAAAGAACCTGGATATTCCTTCTCTTCAAGGGTTCCGATCAGTTCCAAACCTAAAATCAGTTCATTGAGCTGTGATTCTGTGTGAGAAGCCAGTTTTTTTTTCAGTGGTTTGTTATCTCGGCACTCCTGGGACCAAGAGTGGGCAAAACAGGGATCCCTGCTCTGGGACATCAGGTTCCTGGGGAGGACCACTGCCCCCTAGTGGAAGGCAGGAGTGGGGCCGGCTGGCAGGGACATCTCAGACCTCATGTTTCTGTTAGAGACCAGGGAGGCTGGAGGGTTGGGAAGCCTCCCTGATTCAGGCCCTCTGCGTAGTTTGTGAGCGCTTTCAGGTCACTGCCCTTGACTCCTTCTTGGTGTTCACACTTCTGCTCCTTAGCTGGCAGGAGCCTTGCCAGTGGGGACTAACTCCAGTATAACTGACATTCCTAAACATAGCGTGAATGTACTTTTGCGTGGATGGTGTGGTGGCTTCTTGAGTCAGAAAGGCCTGGCTTCAAGTCCTGGCTCCTTCACCTGTTAGCCAGGTGACCTCTTTTGTACCTCAGTTTTCTTATCTGCAAAATGGGGGTAATGAAGCTGCCTCACAGGATTGCTATGTGTACGTCCTGAGAGGAGACAGTGAAGCCTTACGCTGTGCCTGGCCCCCGGGGCACCAACAAAGATGGCTGTCCTCAACACCCTTGTTGAATTAAAAGACCCCCCATTGCTCTGCTTCTTGGGGTGCTCGTGAGCACAGTACCCAGTAGAGAACCATTGTTTTTACCCCATAAACTGCTGTGTCAACATAAAAGTCTCTGAGGGGCTGGCCTTTAGGGAAGAAGAAATGAGGCTGGTCATCAGCTCCACTGCTGCACTTGGCGATTCTTCGCAATCATTTCCCAGGAACACAGAGCAAGGGTTGAGGCACTGAGTGAGTCAGCAGGTGGGCAGGGTGAGTTGCAGGACAGTGGAGATGCATCTAATGCCACAAAACCATACACTGAAAAATAGTTAAAATGGTGAACCCAGTGTTGTACATATATTTCACCCCAATCTTCATAACATGTATTTTTTATATATTTCAGAGAGGAAGGCAGAAGGAGAGAGAAATAGAAACATCAAAGATGATAGAGAATCACTGATTGGCTGTCTCCTGCATGCCCCATACAAGGCATGGAGCCTACAACCTGGGCATATGCCCTGACCTGAAATTGAACCGTGATCTCATGGTTCATAGGTTGGCACTCTACCACTGAGCCACACTGACTGGGCTCACCCCGATTTATAAAACTGTTATTTTTAAAGCGAATGCTGCAAAGGTGCCATTGAATGAGCACAGGTTGTGACTTAGTGGAGTATTCAGCTGTTAGTGTCATTGGTAGCCTTTCAGGATGAAGCCCTTGGCGTGCTTCCATGTGTTGACTGCATGTGTGTTTGTCTGTGGGGTGTGCTGAGCTGGAGTTGGGCCAGGAAGGTTCATCTGCTCCACTGCTGAGTTGCCTGCTGCTTGGGGTCTTCAGTCTGTTCTGGCTTCTTGGGTCTGTGCTGCTCTCCTTGGTGGGAGCTGATCACGTCCACCTTCATGTCCTGGGGTGAAAGTCGGAGTCCACTCTAGGTCCTTCCAGCCCTGAGGGGGTGAATAGGAAGCGGGTGGGTTGCAGCCATAGGAGCAGAGCAGTGTGAGCAGGGTCCCAGGGTTGAGGATGTGGCCCTGGAGGGACAGGTGAGGGAGCACCCTGACCCCTCACACATTCATTTACCTAAAATCACACACATGTGTGTGGCAGGAAGGGGCTGAGAACTCCCGTTCTTCCCAGGTCTGTGCTTCCCTTTCTGTTCTGTGTTCAAGCTGTTTAAAAGCAAAGGAGGCAATCTGCCTTCCTTCGTCTGTCTTTACCTTATGTTGATCTCGCTTAGACTTTTTCAAGCAATTTAGATGTGCTGTCTCATTCTTTTTTCAATGCAATTGTAAAAGTTCAAAATGAAATCTCCATCTGAATGCCTGGCCCAGGGATGGTAAGTACTGGGCATACTTGCCTCCGAGCCTCTACCACCTGCAGACGTTCTGGTCAATTATCACAGCCCCCACACCCTGAGCTGAGCCACCCAGACCCCCACCACTCTAAGGGCTGGCACAGAAAACTCCATCTCTTTCCCATCTCTGTTACTCTCTGAAATCCATGACTTGATGGCCAGGTTAGAACTTGGTAAACAGTGGTTGCAGCAGTTCTACTATCTTGAGGTTTTGCATTGGCCTTTCTACCATCACATTCTTTCTTTTGAAGCTCTGGGTTGCTTCCATACCAGGCCCCAGCTGAGCCAGAAGAGGGGCCATAACCGCCTGAGAAACCCTCAGGTGCCGACAGCAACAGCACCCTGTGAACAAGTGAGGGCACCCAGCCAACCATCCCAGGTCCCTCCAACCTAGGGCTCAGGGTGATTGTTGTCGTGGGGCCGGGGGCAGAGAGTGGAAGCCCAGGCCATGCAATCTGGGCTCTGACTCAACTTTACTCTTTAGCCTCCAGCCATATCCTAGAAAACCAGACCCTCCAGGGCACGGTCCAGGAGATGCGGGGTGCCCTCGTGGCCCTGCAGGAAAGCAGCCTGAGGTGCACAGAGCTTCAGGAGGAGAACCAGCAGCTCCGGAAGCAGGTAACGGTGGGTGGTGTGCCGAACATACGTCCAAGCAGGTGGCAGGTGGAGCACCCAGGGGTTGGTGGGGATGTGGAACTGGGAGAAATGCGGAATGCAGGGCAGCAACAGCTATGGTAGCGGGGCACGAGTCCTCATGGAGCAGAGCCTGAGGCAGCATCACATGTCAGTGCAGCAGAGTGAGTGGACACTATAGACGTGTCTGTGCCCCATTGCCCTCATCTTCATCTGTGAAATGGGGTTAATGATGTGCCCCTGTAGGTGTTTTGAGGATCAGGTGAGTTAGCGTAGATAAAGGGTCTGAGCACATAGTAAGTGCTTACTGAAAGGAGAGCAGCGCCCTGTTAGCACAGGGAGGGCCTGAGAGGGAAGCAGTCTTGGAAGCCACGCACGTGTGTATAGGACCACGGATGGGCAGCTTCAGGGCTGGGTCTTTGGCTCTGCAGAAGGAACACTGGGAGATGGAACTCAGAGGAAGGAGAAGAACAGCAGCCAGGAGTGGGAGACCCTCACTGAGGAGCTCGTTAAAGCCCTAGAGCAGCTGCTCAATGAAGTTGACACCCTGAAGGCGGACAGAGCCCTTCAGGTAGGCCCCCCCAGAGCTTGTGCCTCCCCTGGCGCCCCTGCCTGCAATGGGGAGTGTCCAGGATCACAGCCGTGTCCTGGTCATTGGTCAGTGATTCCTGGGTGACCAGTTTCCTCCCTCAGCTGCAGCTCAGAGCAGCAATCCTCAGCGCAACAGCAGGATGGGGACAGGTATCTCTGCCCAGGGACACTGGCCATCTTGTTTTTTATTGACAGGACTTGGGGGAGGGGAGGGGTGGTGCTTCTGGCTTTGGTGCCTGGAGGCCAGGGATGCTGCTCCATGTCCTGCAGCACCTGGGACAGCCCCGCAGGGCAAAGAATGATCCTGCTCCAAATGTCCATGGTCACCCTGAGAACCCTGGCAAACCTCCAGGGTGGATTTGCCTGGCACTACCACAAGTCCCAGGGAAGGCAGCCCAGCGCTGGGGCAGCGGCTCATTGATTGCACCCAGGGGCCAGGCTTCCCTCTTCCCCCTCTGCCAGCCTTGGCATGGCTGTTGTACCTGCCCAGGAAGTGGGCAGGAAGGTTTCCCCTTGAGAAAAGGCCTGTTGAAGTGTTACATTGGGTTGACACATTTGGGCTTGCTTTAAAGTAAAGTTCACTCCGTGAAACGGACTTTCACACGGGCTGAGTCTTTGGCTCTGCAGATAGTTGGAGTTGGAGAGGCAGCTGCAAATAGAAAAGGACAACAGCCAGAACTTAGAGAACATCAATAAGGAACTATTGAAAGACCTAAAGCAGGTGCTCGATGCAGTAGACACCGTAAAGGCAGAGGCCCCACAGGTAGGCCCCCAGAGTGCATGCCTCCCCTGGCGCCCCTGCCTGCGAGAGGGAGAGTCCAGGGTCACAGCCATGTCCTGGGAACCCAGCAGTGATTCCTGGGTTACCAGTTTCCTCCAGCTGCAGTCTGACCAGCAATTCCAGCCACAGCAGGGGGGCAGGGACAGGTATTGCCTCCCAGGGACACTGGCCATCTTGTTTTTGATTGAGAGGACTTGGGGGAGGAGAGGGAAGGTGCCCCTGGCTGTGGTGCGGTGAGGCCAGGGATGCTGCTAAATGTCCTGCAGCCCCTGGGACAGCCCGCAGGACAAAGAACGATCCTGCTCCAAATGTCCAGGGTCACCCTGAGAACCCTGGGTGGATTCGCCTGGCACTACAACAAGTGCCAGGGAAGGCAGCCCAGTGCTGGGGCAGCGGCTCAGGGACGCCACCCAGGAGCCAGGCTTCTCCCTTCCTGCTCTGCAGCCTTGGCAGTGGCTGATGTACCTCCCCAGGAAGTGGGCAGGAAGGTTTCCCCTTGAGAAAAGGCCTGATAAAGCGTTCCGTGGGGCTGACAGGTTTCAGGTTTGCTTTAAAACACAGTTCACTTCCTGAAACGGACTTTTGCATGGGCTGGGTCTTTGGCTCTGCAGATATTGGAGTTGGAGAGGCAGCTGCAAATAGAAAAGGACAACAGCCAGAACTTAGAGAACATCAGTAAGGAGCTATTGAAAGACCTAAAGCAGGTGCTCGATGCAGTAGACACCCTACAGGCGAAGGCCCCACAGGTAGGCCCCCAGAGTGCATGCCTCCCCTGGCGCCCCTGCCTGCGAGAGGGAGAGTCCAGGGTCACAGCCATGTCCTGGTCATTGATCAGTGATTTCTGGGTGACCAGTTTCCTGGCTCAGCTGCAGCTCAGACCAGCATTTCTCACTGTGGCAAGGGGATAGGGATAGGTGTTGCCTCCCAGAGACACTGGCCATCTTGTTTTTGATTGACAGGACTTGAGGGAGGAGGGGGAGGTGCTCCTGGCTGTGTTGGGTGGATGGTTGTTCTGTAAATATCAGGGTAAATTGGTTGGTAATGCTGTTCAGATATTCTATGTCCTTACTAATTTTCTATTACTCTTTTCTTCAATAGGCTTTTCAAAGTAGTCAAAGAGGGCACCCAATGAGCTTATGCAGAGAAAGGGCATAATTTGCCCAAAAAAGGTCACATGTGTAGCACCTTGTGATAGTCCGTCTATTCTGTGGGCCTTCCCAGTGCAGTTCCTTAAGTGCCGGTAGAACTGCCCTCAGCACAGCTGGGGGTTTCCTGCCCTGAGGGCCCCTGCTATTTTGGTGCCTTGCTCTTGGCCCCTCACTGCATGTGGGGGTGCGGGGATGCAGAGTCTGTGACTCCCGGGACTGGCACCGGTGAGGCATCATCACCTTTTCCCTCCCAGCAGCTGGACCCTTCCCTTCTGGCCTCCAAGAACCAGCAGGCGGCCAAGGAGAGGGAGTGGGAGGAGCTGTACGAGCTGCTGGAGCAGCTGATTCAAGTCCACGAGGCCCTGCGGCAGGACCACACATGCCTGGGGGCGCTCCATGACCAGCTGTCTGGGCAGTACCAGGCCCTCGTGGAGGAGCACAGCCACCACAAGACCCTGCTGCGCCCTTCCCTGGAAATGGCGAGCAAGGCGTTCAGGCGTAGGTGGGTGCGGCAACGGTCGGGGTGACT